ATAGGTGTGAGTCCCTGTAGGTGTGCGTCCCTGTAGGTGTGTGTCCCTGTAGGTGTTTGTCCCTGTAGGTGTGTGTCCCTGTAGGTATGTGTCCCTGTAGGTGTTTGTCCCTGTAGGTGTGTGTCCCTGTAGGTGTGAGTCCCTGTAGGTGTGTGTTCCTGTAGGTGTGAGTCCCTGTAGGTGTGAGCCCCTGTAGGTGTGTGTCCCCATGTGGGTGTGTGTCCCTGTAGGTGTGTTTCCCCATGTGGATGTGTGTCCCTGTAGGTGTGTGTCCCCATGTAGGTGTGTGTCCCTGTAGGTGTTTGTCCCTGTAGGTATGTGTCCCTGTAGGTGTGTGTCCCTGTAGGTGTGAGTCCCTGTAGGTGTGTGTCCCTGTAGGTGTGAGTCCCTGTGTGTGTCCCTGTAGGTGTTTGTCCCTGTAGGTGTGTGTCCCTGTAGGTGTGAGTCCCTGTAGGTGTGAGTCCCTGAGTAGGTGTGTGTTCCTGTAGGTGTTTGTCCCTGTAGGTGTGTGTTCCTGTAGGTGTGAGTCCCTGTAGGTGTGTGTCCCCATGTGGGTGTGTGTCCCTGTAGGTGTTTGTCCCTGTAGGTGTGTGTTCCTGTAGGTGTTTGTCCCTGTAGGTGTGTGTTCCTGTAGGTGTGTGTCCCTGTAGGTGTTTGTCTCTGTGTAGGTGTGTGTCCCTGTAGGTGTGAGTCCCTGTAGGTATGAGTCCCTGAGTAGGTGTGTGTTCCTGTAGGTGTTTGTCCCCAGGTAGGTGTGTGTCCCCATGTGGGTGTGTGTCCCTGTAGGTGTTTGTCCCTGTAGGTGTGTGTTCCTGTAGGTGTGTGTCCCTGTAGGTGTTTGTCTCTGTGTAGGTGTGTGTCCCTGTAAATGTGTGTCCCTGTAGGTGTGTGTCCCTGTAGGTGTTTGTCTCTGTGTAGGTGTGTGTCCCTGTAGGTGTAAGTCCTTGTGTAGGTGTGTGTCCCTGTAGGTGTGAGTCCCCAGTAGGTGTGTAGGCCTGAGTGTGCTTCCTCCGTTGCCTGCAACTTCAGCATCTCAGAGCTCATAATAATATTGTAGTAGTTTCCCAGGGCTGCTATGACAAATTACCAGAAACCAGGTGGCTTTAAACCAAAAGACATTTAGTCTTTCACAGTTCTGGAGGCCATAAGTTGAAAACAAAGTGTCTGTAGTAGGGCCACTCTCTTTGTTCGCCTCTTCTGGCTTCTGGTGGGTCCCAGCACCCCTTGGGCTTCCCTGGCCTGCAGCTGTGGCCCCCCAACATCTGCCTCCATCACTGCACGGCTGGCATCCTGCTGTGCACCCCCTGTCTCCACAGCTCCCTGTCCTTATAAGGACATCAGCCACTGGACTTAAGCCCTTCCATATCCAGAATGACCTTGTCTTACCTTGAGTACCTTTTTAAAGACTATCTCTAAATAAGGTCATATTCTGAGGTTTTAGGGGGATGTGAACTTTTAGGGAACATCGCTCAGCCCAGTACAACCAAATGGCATCAGAGTTCCAGTCCTGGCACGAGGAGTGACGATGGCTCCATAGGCATCCGTGTGTTTTACCCGCTGAAATAGTCCTGCTGCTAAGGTGGCTCTGCCCCAACTGTCCCACCTAGTACTTCCTAAATGATGACAAGAACAGCTGCCTTCTTAATATTGGCATGGGGTCTGTGTAGAACTTAGGACTTTTTAACGCTTTCCTATATACTATTTCATTTGGATCTTACAACAATCTTACAAAATAAGCAAGAGAGAATTTATTGTCTTTGATTGATTGGTAGCAGAGGCTCAGAGAGGGTAAGCAATTTTCCCAC